AGTCGGATCCGCGTAACTCGGGGACTGCCTGTAGTTGCACCTATCCAGTGAATGCAGCTGGAATGCATGCAAATAGTTCTCGGAGGCATTGCCAGCTTCAGGAGGGCAGAGATAGTGTTTCATGGGTATGAACCATAATTCTTCATTTCCCGATTTCAAAAGTTTGAGTTTTGCTGACCTTCACATTCTGTAAAGGCACAAGATACCACTGGGTAACCTTAGCTCTACAGTAATATAATTTCTGGTCAGTGAATAGCTTTTTGCACATATTTATCAGAATAAACACTTCTGATTCTAAACACCTTTATACTGGTATTGCCACATCCACATTAAGGGGCTATTCTTTTTAAAATATATTAAGTTCTAACCCAATATCCTTATACCACTCCAAAATTGTGTGTAGACTAGCCATAAGACACGAATCCATGCAGCTCAGACTCTATATGAAATTGTATCTTCAATTTTTTTGTAACACAAGGTCCTGGAGTTGCAGAGTACAGATACAGTTCCACCTATGCAAATGAAACTCCCTTTTTTCTGATATGCAAATAATTCTTCTTTGCTAACATTTGTAAGGTAACCCTGTTAATCCAACTGGTTTAAAAATGGTTTTTGTAGTTGTAACCAGGGTTTAAATACATTTGTCTGGGCTGTGATCACTTTAGTATTGTGTTTAAAATTGTTTCTCTAAAATTAGCAAACAAAAACTGACAAGGTTATGGCAGGACACACTTCATCTATCTTAAGCCTTGAAAACATGGACTTTAGAGCTTATCTACACTTGAAATGTTACACTGGCACAACTGGAGGTTCAGTGCTGTATTCAGTGCTCTAGCACATCACTATCTACACCAAGAAAAGGGGTTCTCCATCAGCACAGGTAATCCACCTCCTCAAAGGTGCTATCTAGATCAGTGGGAAAATTCTTCTATCAACATAGTACTATCTACACTGGGTTTCAGATTGGATTAATTATGTCACTCACGGATGTGAATTTTTCACACACACACACCCAAACAATATCATTAGGTGGATCTAATTTTCTAGTATAGACTTTAAGAAATTAAAGGGCAAGATTTGTGCATTAGGTTGCCAAAGTAGCATGCACTAAGCAATCTTGCCTTGTTTTATCAAGTTGGGTGGTGGTTTTCATGCAGTCGTGCTCACAGGTTGCGTCTACACTGGCATGATTTTGTGCAAATACTTTTAACGGAAAAGGTTTTCTATTAAAAGTATTTGCGCAAGAGAGTGTCTATACTGGCATGTGCCTTTGTGCAAAAGCATCCGTGCCAGTGTAGACGTTCTCTTGCATAAGAAAGCTCTGATGGCCATTTTAGCCATCAGGCTTTCTTGCGCAAGAAATTGATGTTCCCTGTCTACACTGGCCTCTTGCGCAAGAACACTTGCGCAAGAGGACTTATCCCTGAGTGGGAGCGTCAGAGTATTTGCGCAAGAAGCACGGATTTCATACAGTAGAACATCAGTGTTCTTGCGTAAATACTCGCGGCCAGTGTAGACAGGTGGCAAGATTTTGCGCAAAAGTGCGCAAAATCTTGCCAATGTAGACACAGCCACAGGGTTTTTCTCACTTGTCTCTGGGCTATGCCCTGCAGGTCTTTTGCCTCAATCCCTATCCAGCATCATTATGCTGTGACACAAATCCTGCCCAGAGTTATGCTGCACAGATATAAATTGCAAATCTATCCCACTACTCCCCCCCCCACCCATTTTTGACAACGCATGGTGGGTTTGGGACTAATTTTTAAGCAGCTTAAAACAAGGATCAATGGAGACTGGCCATGAATTTGCACTGCTGAGAGGACAGGCTTTGTTGAGCATTGAGTAAGGATGTCTTTATCTTGAGCAGATGGACTCACTACAAGGACAGATACCAAGAGACAGCAATAAAGAAAAAGTCCAACAAAAAGAGCGCATTGAAGCATAGTCACGTGAACTAAGAGAAAAGGCTTTTTGGGTACTGAGTGCTGACTGGAGAAGTAGGCTTAGAATAGAGAATGAAGAAATTATCTCCAGTGTTTTAAAAAATAGGACTTTGTATGTTCCTTCTAAACAAGATTTAATCACAAAAAAAAATACCAAACATTAATTTCTACTCACAATTAGAACATCTACAGGGCCCTGAACTTTGATTACCTGCTTGTTTAAAAAAGGACAGTATTTATTAAAGTTTTGTCCTAGACAAGTTTGATTAGGCTAGTGTTAGTTTCTCACTTGACTTCTGCTTGGCAGGAAATTTCTCATCAAATTAAAATCTAGAGAGTTTAGCTTGGTGTGCGTATTTTCCATGATGGCTAAAGAGTTGTAAAATGTTCTGCAAAACAAACACTATCAATGTATTTCTGACTTACTAGAATTCACCCAGGAAGTAGCAGTGTGGATAATGGATAGGTGCAGAGAATTTTGGATTCTTGCAAAATGAATAAAATGTGGGAAATCCAAGTGAAAAAGTGCCAGGGTTGATTCTTAAACATACTACTCTCTGTATCAAGTCATTCTTCATCAAATGTCATGAACATTTCAAAAAGTACACAAATATTACATTTGGCATTTTAATTTTTGCCACTTCAGTAAGACTTTTAAAACAAAACCTTCTATTATTGCTGAGTTTGGTGGAAATACTTCAATGGTAATAATAAAAGAAGTCTGGTATACAGAGATGAGGGAGAAGGGATAAACAGGAATACAGAAAAAATGTGTGTGGCGAAACAAAGAAAAAAGGCGGACTAATAAAAAACTCACTGGTTATTAAAGGGAAATTGAATACATTTCATCTTCTATTTCCAGCACCACCACAAAGGCACAGGAAGTTCTGCCTAATATGTCCATGTAGTTTTAACTTCTAGCTTTCAAGGTTTAGCGGAAGAGTTAAAAGGCCTATCCCATCATGGCAGTCTCAGTCCCACTCCTAGCATTCCCTGCACCAAGAACTTGCAATTAATTGAGTCCAAGATGAGAGAAAATAACTAACCTATATTATTTTTATAACTTCCAGATCTGTTATTGGAACCAGGAGACCATTTATCTTGACTGCAGCCTTTCTCTGCAACCAAACTTTAAAAAAACCTGAAAACCCTATGCCAAATTAATTTAAAAAAATCAGTGGAGCTAAAGCAGAGCCCATGTCACCTATGTTTTTACTTAGCTATTATTTGCTTTGTTCTGAATTAATCTGGATTATTCATATCGATGGTCTATTTTTCATTCATGGTTGTAATGCACTGGCGGACAAGCGCAAGGCCCATTGTTTTTCCTTTTTTGCAAGCCTCCCTCCTGTCACTATCCTGACCCTGAGCTGCAGTTCTTATTTTGTTACATAAGCAGCAGAAGGGCTAGTAAAATACTGGGCAACTAGCACCTTATTTCAGCGTCACTCAGGCCACGGGGCTCTGGCAAAGCTCTCGGTGCCCTCTCCATGTTCTGTTAGTCTTTAAAGACCATTTGTTATTTACGTTGATTTGAAAACAGAGGTGTTTGTATTTCCACCGCAGCCCCAAGATGGCGTCCTGGAGGATGCAACGTTTAACCTTTTCGGTGCCAGTTTTCATCCGGCCCTTTCCCTGGCGCAGCGACACGGCTCCCCGCGCCTGCTGCGGCCCGAAAAGGCGCTCGCGACACACACGGTGCCCGCCCGCCCAGCGCTAGCGAAGCTCTAGCTGCGATGGGCTGCTCGGGCAGAGCCAGCTCCGCTGTTACCGCGGCCTGCCCCAGGGCCGCAGCCGAGACGGGCTGAGAAAGGGGGGGGGGGTTCTACGGGAGCGGGCGCACGGCAGGTTTCGCCACCCCCCGGGGCAAAGGGGAGACTTTCGCTTGGCTCTGCGGCCAGGCGGCAGCTAGGCCCGAGCCCGCCTCACGGCGCCGCTCCCGCGCTACGAAGGCCGAGGCTCGCGGCTGCTGTGACTGGGCTGCAATGGCCGCCGCCCCCCCCAGCTCAAGTGACACAGCAACTTGGCGGGGTGCCCGGCCCCAGAGCCGAGCCGCAGCGGGAGGGGAGCCTGGACGAGCCCCGCCCACCCGCTGACCTAGATTCTCTTTGCCAGGAGGGGCGCACCAGCCCCTCGCCTTTCCACCCATCGGCGAGCCGGAAATGGGTCACGTGGTGCCAGGGTCACGTGCTGACAGCCTCCATTTTGTGGCGCAGCTGCACGTCAGACTCGCCAGTCGGGAGCCAGCTGCTGTAGAGGAAGGATCGAGCAGGAGGCTGCTGATCATCCTCGCTGCGCACCTGTCTGGCTTCGGCCCGCACCGCGATACCATTGCAGCGCAGGTTGGTGAGGCCCCGGCGAGCCTCGCTACGGACGAGCGACTGGGAAGCTGAGCCGGGGAACGCGCGACGTGGGTGGCGAGGATCGGGGTGGGAAAGACACGCAGAGCAGGGCAGCCAGTCTGCGGTCGGGGAGAGTGAAGTAGCGGGGCAAGGGCGAGGTGGGGTTGTCTCGTTCTTAGTGCCTCGTTTTCCCGTGGAAGGGCGAGGGCCGATCTACGGGTGGGGACGCGCGTCTCTACTGTTAATCGGGCGCGGCACGGGCGGCCATTTTGTGAAATGGAAATGGCGGCGTCTTCTGTTTCCTCATCAACTTCGGGATCTTCCGCGCACGCGCGGGGCGCTGAGCTCCACAGAAAAGTTCGGAGGCGGAGTGGTTGGGGGAGGGGGGACGAGAGCGCGTTCCTATTGGTGCGGAGAAGGGTGGTGTCTTGGCTCGTTCCCATTGGTGCGGAGAAGGGTGATGTCATACTTGGCGCGCTCCCATTGGGGCTGGGCGAGAGGGGCGGGGCTGGCTGGCCTCTCCTACGTTCTCGGATTTTCCAGACTGCGGCATAGGGTGGGGCTTTGCGGCTGCGCAGTGCGGGTGGGGTGGGCGTTGCGGGCGGACAAAGGAGGTGGGGGCCTGTTCCCTGCCGCTGCCTGATGCGCGTCTTTCTTCTCCCGCAGCCGACTTAGTCGCCACCATCGACGCCATGAGCGGCTGCCGCGTATTTATCGGGAGGCTGAACCCCGCCGCCCGGGAGAAGGACGTGGAGCGATTCTTCAAGGGCTACGGGCGCATCCGGGACATCGATCTGAAAAGAGGCTTTGGATTTGTGGTAAGCGCTGTCGCACCAGCCCTGCCTCGTGCCGCCCGGGCTAAAAACCTTTTGTCCAGGAAGTTCGGATTTGTGTAACTGCATAATGATTTTTGTTGTTCTTTGAGAGACACTGCAGTGGTAAACAGCTATGCCCCTGTAGGGCTTGTCCTGCCAGGTGATTTATTTCCCTAAAAAATAAAAGGTCCCATCAACCTAGATCTACCTTCACTGTGGCTTGGAAGGTGGTTCCTCTCCCATCAACCTAGATCTACCTTCACTGTGGCTTGAAGTTTGTTGAACTGTAGGGTCAGAAGGGTGGGTTTTTTCACTCTACAAAATGCAGCTGGTATAACTACACCATTAAGGAGTGTACCAGGGCTTAATTTTTTTTATATAATGGGGAGCTGCTTCTAGTGCCTTTATAACACTGTAGTAATCTACCAACAATACAGTTTGCATGTGTTTCTATTAAATATGGGTATCAAATATGTTTTCTTATCCAATAGGAATTTGAGGATCCAAGGGATGCAGATGATGCAGTCTATGAATTGGATGGAAAGGAGCTCTGCAGTGAGAGGTAAATGTTTTGATAGTAGTATCCAGAATGCTGCTTCATATGTAGCTTAAAAATAAATCTAGAGTAAATCAAATTCATGAATTCAGTTTCTCTTCATATAAAATGTTAACATGAGTTCTCTTGTGCTGTTGTTGAGAAAATACAAGAAGTTTGTAACACAGGTATGCAGATGAAGTTGAGTTCTGTTTTGTTTCAGGGTTACAATTGAACATGCACGGGCTCGTTCCAGAGGTGGTAGAGGAAGAGGGCGATATTCTGATCGCTTTAGTAGCCGCCGACCTCGTAATGACAGGAGGTATATATGGCTGAATAGTCTTAGTGGATATGATCTAGTTAATTACATGTCAGACCCCTAGCTAACTGATTTAACGCTCCCCTCCCCTTTGATTTGGCTTATTTATGTAGAAGTTTGCATTGTAGTTGATGCTCTGAATTGGAGCCAGGTCTTAAACTTCAACAATCTTTTAGTATTGGCTCTGTAAAACTGAAGTAAAACTAGTGTCCTTAACTTTAAATACTGAAGACGAAACTAAATATTTTTCTATGTAGAAATGCCCCGCCTGTACGAACAGAAAATCGTCTGATTGTAGAGAATCTGTCTTCCCGAGTCAGCTGGCAGGTTTGTTAAAACATAATTAACTATTTTGACTTCATTTAATAGGTATGTAATGTAAAATATATTTATTGAAAATATTTTGATAAAATATATATTTGGAAAAACGTATTAATGTTAGTTTAAATGATAAAATTATGGTATTTTCAAAATTTACGTAATATGTAAATACTCAATGTAAATATTTGAGGAAATTATTTATATATTTTATATATTATATATATATTTTTTTTCTTGTTGAAAATCAATTTTAACCACATATTAAACCCTTTATTTGCCAGCCTATCTGTGTCGTGGCCTTATGACGAGGAGTGCCTGTGGGTTATCCTAATCGTTCTGTCTTGGTCACTCTTGGTTGGGCCTGGTTGACTTTTCCAGTCAGCTCCTACAATGTAGCAGTTGGCCACCTCTAGATCTGTGTTTGCTGGTCTAGACGTAATCGATGCACTTCCTTAAAGTGCCAGATTGCAGCGATCCCAGAGAGTTAACGAGATCTGATCCTTAAGTTGAAAGCTGTTCCTCCTGTAACGCTTCCGAATGAGGTCCTGGTCGAAAAGAATTGAAAGATACGAAATTAGGTGGTCGGTCGTTGGAATCCTGATCGCAGTAAAGTGGTCCTTGGTAACTCCACAAGAGTAGAAAATGTCTGCATCCGTCTGTAGTCTGCTAATAGGGAGGGCTGTGCGATTAAAGGCTTCCATCGACTGGGTAGTGTTCTTCAAATGGGTGGCGAAGAGCCAGTCGGGCATAAATCATGACGGTATCTTCGATCGCTTAATGCAGTTTGCTGCTTGGCTAGCCTAGGGAAATTTTAATGAAGGTAAAGTAAACTATATTTTTATGACATATGGGGCACAAAATAACTGGTGTATTGTAAACATTCTGTTTAAACATATAAGGCTTATTCTATTGCAGTTTCTTTTTATGCTTCAAAAATACATAGGTAATATTATGCACTCAGTTCCATATATAGACTAATACTTTCTTTAATGTTAAAACTATACCAGCACATTGCTTTAAGCAAAATGCTATTTTCATTTATTTCGTGCCCTGATGTAGATAATGTCAATTCAGTTTTGATAGAATACAAGTATGGCAAGTGCCATGTTTGTAATTTATCTAACATCTTCTCTTTCAGTAGTTTTTGTTCTTTTTTTATCTATCTATCTATATATATGTATATGTACGTAAGCATTAGTTCTGTTTCTTTGTATAACAAATTTGGTCTCGTGTTAGGATCTCAAAGACTTCATGAGACAAGCTGGGGAAGTAACCTTTGCAGATGCACACAGGCCTAAACTAAATGAAGGGTAAATATCTGAAATTTGTCTTAAACTTTGTTGAACGTTTCTAAACTTTAGTGTTCTTAAATACTGAATTTCGTTTCAAAACTCTTAATGGTTGCCTATAGATTGAGTTACTCTTGCTATCTTGAAACATTTATCCCTTGATTTCAGCAAAAAAGATGAATACTACCTGGGCGGGGGAATAATCTGATTTCACGGCTTAGTTACTGATGTGGAATAAATTGACGATACGTTGCAACAATCTTAAAAATTTTACGATGTTGGGTAGGTAATTCGTGTCACTTAATGTGAATCATGGTTTTTGTTTTTTTTTTCTTAAAGGGTGGTTGAGTTTGCCTCTTACAGTGACTTAAAGAATGCTATTTCTTAAAGGGTGGTTGAATTTGCCTCTTACAGTGACTTAAAGAATGCTATTGAAAAGCTGTCTGGCAAAGAAATCAATGGAAGGAAAATTAAACTAATTGAAGGCAGCAAAAGGCACAGGTATGAGTTTTTAAATCTCCAAATTATGCAAAAGTACAAACTAAAATGTGACTTCATTTCTCTAAACACTTGTGTGTTTGATAAAGCACTTGGCTATTAAGTATTCGTATAGCAGTACAACATGAATGTAAGAGTCTAACATGGGTATGTATAATTTCATTAGTAGGTCCAGAAGCAGGTCTCGTTCCCGAAGCAGGAGCTCATCCAGGTCTCGCAGCCGTTCTCGTTCCCGAAGCCGCAAGTCTTACACCAGGTCCAGGAGTAGGAGCCGTAGCAAGTCTCGTTCAGTTAGTAGGTCTCCAGCGCCTGAGAAGAGCCAGAAACGAGGGTCTTCTAGTAGATCAAAATCTCCATCAGTGGATAGGCAGAGATCTCGATCAAGATCCAGATCAGTTGACAGTGGAAATTGAACTATAAACTTGGCTGAGGGCCTTTTTTAAACCATACTTGCTAAAACTTGTGGTAAGTATGTGATTTTTCTGTGGGGAGGGGTTTGGATGGGGGGGAGGGATGGGCAAAAAACTTTGTAGATGTGGACCACGAAGGGGGGTATGAATTAAATGTATTAAATGTCTTTTGATATCCTTTTCTTGCTTAACTTTTTTTGTGGATGTCAAGTGTATAGTTCTTGTATATGGAGAGAGCTCTTTATAACTAAAGCTAATAACTTTAATTTTTTGTACTCAAAAAAAATCATCTGAACGTTTTAGTTCCTAGTGTATTCAAACGTGAATGGTAATTCAAGATATTAGTTTAATTGAAAGACATTTAAACTAATAGCTTTAGACACTTATGAGCTCTACATATGTGCTGTACATAAAGCTTTATATCAGGGTTTTTTTTGTGCTTCCAACAACTGTTTCAGTTGAGTCAGCAAACTCTAGATTATGCTGCTCAAGATTAATAAAGTCTTTATTTAAAAAAACCTGTCTCATCATTTGAAATGATTCTTCACTCAACCCAAAACATCTATGCTGTTCAAGTTTTTACAGCTCATTTTAAAAAAAACACACTTGTCTCTGGCCAGAGTTTATGGTGTTACTGTAGAGCCTCCCATGCCTTAGTGCAGAAGTAGAAATAACTTAGCCACAAAAAACACATTTTGACACATGCATTTATTTTTCAAGGCACAGCTGATTGTGAATAAGCACACCTAAATGGAAATAGATTATTTGTGATTTGTAGGAACAATGCTAATGAAGCTAATTAAGTTGGCTAGAAGTGTCCTATAGCTTTTGCTGTAAAAAATACTAACTTTCTAATGCAACATCCAGTTAATGTCTTTGTTCAAGCCAAGGAAACTGTCAGATTTGTTGATGAATACCAATTCTGTACTCTTTCATTGGCTGGTGAGAATAGCTACTTCTAAATCAGTGAGATTGAGTGACCACGCAGGTTAAAATGTTCCCTTACAGGTTTGTTACCATTTCTGATGTCTGATTTGCATCCATTTATCTGTCAGGTGGTCCAAGTTGACCAATACACATCAGAGGAGCATTGATGGCATATTACATTAGAGGATGTGTAGTTGTATAAGCCTGATGTGTTGAAGGATAGATAGAGCATGCATGCACACGCAGACTATAAATCCATGCAACTCCTTCATGCCTCTCCCCCCTCTAATGCAGCATTGCTCCATCTTAAAAGAGAACCATTTTATCGACCTTTAATATTAAACAGTTTAGGAGTTTGCAGCAATTGGTAGAACTGAGTCTTTAAAAATTTTGAGATTTAAGGGGGTATATGATAGTGTGTAAGTCATAACTGCAGTGGAAGTGTTACTCCTTTTAGTAATCATGAGGTATCAGTACCTGTGATAGAATTTCTTCACCTAGTGCACACCATGGACCTGTCAGATGTTGTAAAGGACAAATCTAAAAACATTAAATGTCCATCATATTGGCCAGCAGGTACAAGGATGGGGGGGATTAGCCTTTATGCCAGAGGGAATGGGTTATGGGGTTGGGGAAAAACAGGATAGTGAATTAGACAGGGCTTTGGTTTGACCCAGTCTGGCTGTGCTTTTTTTAACTTAAAGATGCCCTGCTTCTTGTCTCACTGCATACACACAAGTACACTCTAGTTTTTGTTGCAAGGAGTTGCATATTTGTCACTAAAAAGTTCCCCCTCCATTTAAATGTCAGGCTCTTGTTTTCTACTTTTTCTGTGTTCAGTGGTGTCCATGTGCAACTTCTTCCAGTTCAGACTGCTACTGAACATCATGCAGTGTATTATTAGTTTGAGTGACTTTTGGCTCTAATCTTTAAGGCAAACAGCTGGCAAGTAATGCCAATTATAAAATGGGAAGCTCAATTAATGACTTAAGTTGGTTCTTGCACTAGAGAATACAGCTTAAAACCTACAGGTATGTCTACACTGGCATGAATTTCCGGAAATGCTTAAAACAGAATAGTTTTTGTTAAAGTATTTCCGGAAAAGAGCGTCTACATTGGGCACAGATGCTTTTCTGGAAAAAGGGCTTTGCCGGAAAAGCATCTGTGGCCAATGTAGACGCGCTTTTCCGGAAAAGAGCCGCTTTTCCGGAAAAGCATCTGTGGCCAATGTAGACGCGCTTTTCCGGAAAAGAGCCCCGATCATCATTTCCACGATCGGGGCTTTTTTTCGGAAAAGACTACTGGGCTGTCTACACTGGCCCTTTTCCAGAACAGTGTTCCAGAATAAGGACTTATGCCAGAGCAGGAGCAGCATAGCTTTTCCCGAATAGCGGCTGATTTTGTACAGTAGAGTGTCGTTGCTTTTCCAGAAATTCAAGGGCCAATGTAGACAGCTCACAGCTTATTCTGGAAAAGCGGCTGATTTTCCGGAATAAAAGTGGCCCAGTGTAGACACAACCTACTTGTTTAACACATGCAGAGAAGTTTCTCATTTCCATGTTAACTCTTGTTAGTGTTGGTAGACAGTGTTCAAATAGGCCACCTGGATTTTTAGTCACTCTTCTTGGCCTTGCAAATGTGATTATGCTACAATTTCTTATATATTCAGTTCTACTTACATTAAACTGTTGCGTTAACACACTTTTTTCCAAAATTTGGCCCAGTCTAGACAGGACAAATTTCAGAAAATTCTCTTGACAAAAGTATCAGAAAAAGATATACCAGATGTGGAGTGCATTTTTCCCGATAGATCCTTGCAGTCTAGCTGTAGCTTGTGTAGGCAGCAGTACAGAAGGGTGGCAATAACATGGAAGGGTGGCCTGTTTTCTTGAAAGCAATGCTGCTGCCAGCAGCTGCACAGAACTAAGGGTAACTATTGCAATGCTCATACAATAACCTATCAGTACCTCCCCACAACTCTCTTGGATCAGAGCCCCTGCAATTACAACAGTGAAATTTCAGATTTAAATATCTGAAATGAAATTTACCATACTTAAGGTTATGTGACTGTGAGTGACCAAATAGACTGAATTTAGTAGGGCCCCATGTATGAGGCAGTCAGATAACACAACATACCTGGAAAAACAGGACTCAAATGGGTAGGATTGGCTCCATTAAGGATAGTAATATTAAGCTCTATCATATTGTGGGTTCCAATGCTCATGGAAAACTGGGAGAAGGCCATTGGGACCACACCATTTCCTCATCAGCCAAAATATGAATGATTTGTAAATAACCAAAAAATGTTCAAGGAGTCTCAAACGCCATAGTCCTTAGTGTCCTTTCTTGAGAACATCCAATTGGGGTGCAAGGAGGCCTGGAAGAGGATCTGCTCCGCCTTTGCTTTAAAATTGATATTGCTTCACATTTCATGCAAAACTGCTGGAATTCAGCAAATCAGGTGCAGAAGATATAACTGAAACATGGGTATGTGTGTCTGTGGTGTGGTTCTTAGGGGCCAGGGTGACTTGTTTCTTGGGCAATATCCACAGCTGTATAGATGATTTTTGCTGTATCTAAAGAAGAGGTGGAAAAAAAAGTTTTATAAGACCACAGTGTCCTTAACCCATAGCATTGGAAGGTAATGCTGCAGGAAAGATGAATGGTTGCTTTAATGTAGGGATTCCTATATTGCACTGAGCGGTGCCCAAGAGACAGCTGTGCAACATAAAAGTGGCATTCCCCTCCACTTCCCACTCCAAAAAAATTCCTGAAGCTATTTTGTTTCAAGTCATTTCACAAACCAGACTTCAGTTTGCATGGAATTTTTAGAAAAGTCCATTTAACAGTATGTGGAAAATGTCAACTTTTTGTGTATGTTTCTAGTGCATGCTGCTTTTACATTGTCTATCAGCAAAACTTACAAAAATATGGTAAAACTTTATCACTGTGCTCCAAGGTGTCAATCTACCTTTGCCCTGCCTCCCAAAGTAGGTGGAGCCAGCTGATTAGGGCAAGGGCAGGGCTAGAATGGCTGCTAGATGTTCTGTTTGAGTGGCTCTCCCAATCAGCTGTGTTGTGAGGCCCAATGGCTTCTAAAGCTGTTCTCCAGAGAGATAGCTGCAGTGGTACTGGTCTGGAACAGCTGTCTTTATTGCCATGAATCTGGCCTACAGCTTTTTTTGTTAAATACCACAAAGGCAGCTGCTGAATCTGCTTATGCACTTCAACTTGTCTCCCTTCCCCACTGCAATACTTGCCTGCAATCTGCTAGAAAGCAACCCACCCACTTGGATTAAGCATTCTTGTCTTATTACAATATTGGTCCAGATGAGCACCATCTGGCAGAGGTAAATGAATTTGTGTTCATTAAGAACTTCAAAATACAATCAACTCATTTTTCTTAGACCAGTGTGCTGGGGTGAGACTAATCCTGTTCCAGAAAAGGTTAAAGGCTTTACTTGCTGCATCTATGAAACTAAACTATTTGAGATATATGGAATTAGCATGCAATGGCTGGCAATCACAGCACAAGACTGGAGCCAGAACCTGGCTGGACAGATGATTCCTTTGTTTTTTATTTTTTTGATATTTTGTTTTTGGGAGATTCCTTTACCTGGTAGAGGCTACATCAGGGGTGGGGAAAACCCTCACTGACCTGCCCCCGACTGAGAAAAGGAGAAAGACATTCCCTACGTTCCCCTCACACACCAGAGCTTAGGGGGGCTTTGCCTAGTAGATTTCGTGTGCTCCAGCCCACAGTGGGGGCCATGGAGAGCTGGAGTGGCAGTGTGGGCTTGCCAAGTAGTTTTCGTGTGCTCCAGCTCACAGTGGGGGCAATGGAGAGCTGGAGTGGCAGTGTGGGCTCCCTTTGCCTAGTAGATTTCGTGTGCTCCAGCCCACAGTGGGGGCCATGGAGAGCTGGAGTGGCAGTGTGGGCTCCCCAATATTGCAGGGGGGGGTCCCTGAGCCTCGGGGGCTGGATCCAGGCTAGCAGGGAGCTGTATTTGGCTCCTGGGCCTCAGGATCCCTATCCCTGGGCTAGATGCTTTGAGGTCACTTGGCTGGAGGACTAGGTTGCTATGGCTGGATAGGCCGTACGATGTATGAATGGAAACTAAGGCAGTGTAGTCACAGGACAATGTTGTGTCCCAAAGGGGTGCACTCCAAGGTTGCCCCCTGGAGTGATCTAACAGTTATCAGAGGAGTATGATGTTACTGGCCAGGCCAGGGAATCAAAATAATTAAGGTGAAAAGCTTTTTATTCCCATACTACAGAGCTTCCAGGGTTGGAGCCTTTCACTTCTATTCTGCAAAAATCTGTCTACTAGGCTGCTCCTAAGATTTACTTTCTAATTAAATGACTTATGTGACTTGCATATGGGGTGAGGGGCATTCCTTTCCCTTACAGCATGCAGTGATACCCAGGATGTGTTCTCTCTGAGTTTTGATACCCATTGTCTCTGAGAGGTGTCAGAACAGATCCCTGCTTTTGGAATGTGCTTGTGCACTGAAGCACAGGATTGTCTGGAAAGCTGTGACCATTTGGTAGGTTGCAATCTGTAACTCTCACACCTGAACTTTTGATACCTGAAGTTGTGGTCCCTAGTATAGTATCCTCAATTCCCTATGCAGTAGCAACTGGAGAGACTATTCTTCACTTCTAGCTGTTGTTTAGTTTTGCTGTGTGCTGTTTATATAGCAACTGATTTCCACCTCAGACACAGCAGCAGTTCATGGTGGGTGATACCAGTAGATGCTTTATACACTACTTTGAAAAGTGTGTAGGAACTGGAGAGAGGTTTTGGTTACACTACACTTGCCATTTGGGTTCTTTATCTTTTCATGAATCCTGAAGGCTAGTATCAGGAGAATGCCTTCTCCAAGCTGGAATACCATGTAGAGGTATGGAAAGAAGAAAAGGGGTCCAATAACATCAGGGGCAAAGGCCACCTTGAGGATGGTAGAGCAGAGCAGCACATTTTGGCAACCAGTCTCCATGCAGACTGTCCGCTTGCACCTGTACAGAAAGGAGATAAACACAGACGTGAATTGCAGAACTGCTAAGTTTCTATACAGCTTAAAATGAATACTCTGTGCTGATCTATGCATTTAGCATGGTAAAAGAAACTGCGGTCAAAGCAACGCTGAGAATGCTAATGAGATGTGCGTGTGCAAGGGTAGGTAGTGAGAGAGGTTGGTGTGCGTGGGTGAAAATCCTACCCAGTAATACTTGGTGGTCATGAATCTTAGATTCTCTAGGAGTTGCTGCCATCCCAAAGGAGGAAAAAAACTGGTTAAAAAGTGCAGAGATATTCACTAGGGTAAGGTTAGGGGAGGTTTGCATATGTGAAGAGGGTTATTTTGGCTGGTTTACCAAGGGCTCCAGGCATGGGAAGAGATGATTCAGAATTGTGTAGTGGGGACTTTTCTCTTTCATATTTCACTGTCAGTAACTGAGAATTCCAAAATGAGCAGGTCTTTGGTGACCAAATGGTACAACCATCCATCAGCTTGTTCAGAGGCTGTGGTGGGTTTTCAGGTACCCATTTGACTTCTGGTAGACTTAGGAAGTCCAAGGAATAAATTGATCCATAAAACTCTACTCATCACTCCTCCCAGTAAGGGTTGAGGCACACAGGCTAGGGCCAGTAGAGGTAGCTTGCACTGTGACTGCCTATATCGTGTGTTTTGTAGTTAAATAACAAACATCAATCTCCAGGGTTGCTACTGGCACCATTTTACCACTACAAAATCTTATGGAGTGGAGGAGCTGAGAGGGTGGGAGCTGTGTAGACAGCTTTTCTTATTTGTGCCCATACTTCTAGCCATCAGCACCGGGAGATCATATTCAAAGGATGATATTAGAGTGCATCAGAACTTCCATGCTGAAAACAACTCATTCAGCATCTCCTAAGATTCCAGGGTCATGGTTTTATACTCAGTCCCCTTTCCTAGAACTCCTGGGCAAAAAGGAATGAGGGTGATAAGGGATGTGGAGGGACCTACCTGTCACTGAGCTTGAAGAATGAAGATAGCACGTAGCCAAGCAGGAAACCAATAAAAGGCATCAAGGCAGCAGTTCCCAGGAGGGATGGTGAGAAGATGATCAAAATACTGTTTCCAACAGTTGTCACAAACAGAACGATTATTGGAACAGATGATACAAGCAACACAATCATCCCTGCCTGAAATCAGTGTATCAGGAGTTGGGAAAGACAAGACAAAAATCCCATTAAAATTAGCCAAGATGTTTGGAAGCAACTGTCCCAGTGTCTGTTAAACGAATATTTTCCTACTTATATTAACGTAGCACCTTCATCTCAACGTGCTTAACCGACTCTGTAAGAATCTCTACTCTACTCATAGTGAGGACATAAGCACTGCTTAGGTGGAACATGATTGCTGCTTTTTCAGTTTATAGCAACACTTCCTAATAATTCAGCAAAGGAAGTGAAGACCATATCCAACTGAAGTGCATGAGAAATGTTGGGAGGTCGAATCTAACCCTTAGGATGAGTTTCCGCTGCTTAGCAAGAAACTGTCAGAAGTCCCCAGGTTTGTGTTTTATCCTGAAGGGTGGTGATAACAGAATGGGATCTGAGCAGTGCACCTAGGCTGACCATTGTGTGCCACCCTCCCCCAGTGTAAATGCTGCCTTTGAAACACTCTCGGGTCTTGTGATGAAGTGAGGATTGTATTCGCTATACTATGTTGCACATGAGTTCTAATGTCCTATAGTAACTCTGTGTGCGCCTCAGGTTCCCAGGTACTGCACCAGTACCTAGATGGTGATGGGGATTTTGGGTGTGACACTCACTCTAGCCACAGTATGCACACAATGGCTGATGCCCTTTTGTAACCTGAGCTCAGGAGGAGGTGCAGCCAGGTGACATCCTTTGCCTGGGAAGGGGAACAAATGGCACAGGAGAGGCTGGGGGGGGGGTCAGTCTTGGTTGGCTTCAAGGTGCAGGAGGGGATCAGGGAATTGACTCGGAGCCCCCTCTCCCCAGGATGGATTGTATTGATTGCTTCTGGTTAGTGTCCTGACAGGTCTGTTCTACAGTGTATCCCTGTCAGCTAAAAAACCTTCTGTTCTACCTGCTGGCTGAGCCACAGGGCCCAGTGACTCCCCATACCTGGGTGACAGGTCCTGTCTTCAGCTCTTTCAGTCATTTGTGACATGACCTCAAAGAAGTTACTTAACCCTTCTGTGCTTCAGTTCTCCCATCTGTAATTCTAATTCGTACCTTGATGATGATGTGTGTATACTGTGGCTATCTCCCATCTGTAAATCAGGTAATTCTAATTCGTACCTTGATGATGATGTGTGTATACTGTGGCTTCTTCTCGTTCAGGAAGATGCCAAAGGTGCAGGGAATGAGCATCATGGCCAAGGAGATGACTATTTCCTTGTAAGGGACTTTGCCATGTAGGTTGCCCTGGTGCAGCCCTCTTGAGTAGAGATACAGGAGAAGAGGCATCAGCCCAAGTGCCAGGAGTGTTGAGCAAGTGGTCATCACAATACTGAGATGAAGGGAAAAAGTAAAGCAGCAGAATAAAATCATTTGCTGGAATATTCTCCTCCTTATCTAACTCATTGGACACATGCATCCACCTACACTTTCAGCTCACTTCCCATTTCTCCCCTTTCCCTCACAGAGGTTTCCTCAGCATTACCAGGTAAGGGAAGGACCTGCAGGAATGGAAGCAAAGGGGAAGGTTAAGGGTAGTTAAGGTTAAAGCTCAAAAATCTGCATCTTGATTCATAGACATTTCCAGCTGCATCAGACTTGTGGTCCAGCTAGTCCAGTATCTTGTCTCCAGCAGTGGCTGGCATCAGTTGCTTTAGAAGAAGCGCGGTTATTGACAGTGGGCTGACAGCCTTGTCAGGACCCTGGGCATGGCGGTGTGGGGGGAGGGGACTCTGCTCTCTGCCCCTGGAAGGGGTGGGGCTAGCCTCTCCCAGGGAGCCCTCAGTGTTGCCTAGAGCATGCCGCACTTCCCCCAGGCAACGCTGGAGCATGCTGCATGGGGCTCCCGCAGTGGGGCTCTGGCCACGGTGGCTGGGAGCCCTGGGCCCTTGAGAATCACCAGTCCTGGGGCAGTTGCTCCCTTAGCCCCCCATCAGTAGGCCTGGTTATGCAATAACCTGCCCACAGAAAAAACTTCTTAAATCCTTCCCTCCACCCATAAGTTGGCTAATGCCCGGAAACATAAGGATTTATGTCCTCTCTAAAGCTGTTGGGTTGATTTGTTTCCAAATACCGAGGCCTTGTCTACACTGGCAAATTACAGTGCAATAAATCAGCTGCCAGCGCTGTAACTCCTGAGGTGTCCACACTGACAAGACACACAGTGCTGTAAGAATCTCTGCTCATAGTGAGGACACTTAGGTAGAACTCCGCAGTTGCTGTGCTCTAGGTAAATGACTTTGATGAGAGTGCAGCAGTAGTGCACACCTTATTTGCGTGCAGCACTGGTGTCCTCCCCCTCCCCTTACAGCATAGTGGGATGCAGGGGTGGCAGACTTTCAGAAATGGTGGTGGTGCCCAAAGCT